CTCCTCCTCCTCCTCCTCCTCCTCCTCCTCCTCCTCCTCCTCCTCCTCCTCCTCCCCCTGCGCACGCAGCTACGCTTTTTCCTGATTGCGCATGGCACGATGTGGACTTTCGGCTGGAGTTGCAGGTCGGCTATGACACGCGTCCGCAGACAGAGGTAACATCAGCGCAGTGGGAAGGGATGCGGGGGAGGGATGTACATGGGATGTCAGATGAGGCACGAGCGCACCCAGCTTGCCTCAACTCACCCCCTCCCTCCCCCGGATGCCCACGACGGCTGGGGAAGCACACGTAGTCCAACAGTTTGCCCAAGCTTTTGCCCACCATCAAACCGCAGCAACACTTCCAGGCATGCAGGCGACGGCGGTGGCTCGCTGTAGGCGTCCGCAGGGCCGAGCGGAGCGCCCGCGGCGACGGGTGGCCTCGCCTTCTTGCGGAAACGACCCCTCGCCTCGATGCTGTTGCCGGCGGCTGCGGCGACGCTGGAGGCGGCTCTTTCGTAGCAGACCTGCCCAGACAGTCCACCACGAGCGAACACACTTCTATCCACCACCGTGCCGCGAGAGTCCTGAGTCCCCAGGATGGAGTATCAAGGGCCCAGACCCCACATTCTCACATATTCTGGAGCTCCTAGCGTGCCTCCCGCCTTTCCGCGGCGCTTCCCGCAGGACTTCTTCGGAGCGGCGAGCGCCCCAAAACGGGGCACTAGGGCCCCGAGAGGCCTCTGCTCTAGAGCCTAGGCACGGTGGCGGGATAGGCCGAAGGCCAGTGAACTACCAGCTAATGAGGAGCCCCGCGCCAGAGATCAGAGAGATTAGGCGACAGACGGACAAACGACGTAAAGGACGACGGACGAAGGGGACGGGCGGGCGAATGGGTGGAATGGCGCGCCGGGCGCGCGCCTGGGTGGCACATCGGGCAAACAAACGTGCCTCACCTCCCCCGCCACAAGGAGCTGGTGAGCACTGTGAAAAACCAAGAGCAGACAAGCAAGGCAATATATACACGTCGGTCGGAAGAAGTAGGTAAAAACATGAAGTAGGAAGGCGGAGTACGTTGATTGGGTCGAGGCCCCCCCAGAGAATAACAAAACACAGCAAAAGCGTGTCGATTCTTGAAGTAGGAAGGCGCTTGAAGTAGATTGGGATCTGGGAATCCAAAAATACCTACTTTCAACGACCGGCGTGTACACATGTTCCCTGTCAGCGCAGGTCGGGCGAGTCGATTGCACCACCGAGCCCATCGAAACCGTCAGGTGGAGTCTCGACAGGGAGAAGGGGCTCGCCCGCAGGGGTGCACAGTCGAGTCGATCGAGACTCGACCGAGGCCGCCCGCAGGCATTCGCACACAGAATCCACTCGATCGAATCGTGGACGTCCCTCTTCATCTAGTACTCTTCGCCACCTCGAAGGGGCCCTGGGACACACACAAAGAAGTGCACACAAGCAACAGGACTCTCCCTATCTTTTAAAATATTTTCTGGGTGTTTGTCTTCCCCCCAACTTCCCACATTTTCCAAAATTTCCGGGGGGATCGACGATTACTTGTGTCTGTGTTTTTTCCCCTCCTGACACCTCTCCTTCCGCAGGCACGCGCGCGCAGCTGCACGCAGACTGCAAGGCCAGCCCCCCTTGAAGACCGCCCGCGATGTTTTTTGCTCTGCGGCGCCCCGGCGAGCCGACACCGCTGGCACGCGCCCCAGGGGCCAAGCCTGCCCCTGAACGCCCTGGCTTCGAGGCCAGAACTCACCCAGACATGATGGCGCCGTACAAAAAATCAGGACGGGAAGTTTTTGGCTATTTTCGGCCCCAAGGAGCCCTCGCTGGGCCCTAGGACCGTCAGAAAACGATTCAGGACGAAAAACCGGTCCTGGGGAACGGGTCGGGACTTCCAGGGACGCCGTCCTGAAAAATCAGGACGTCGCATTTCTGGGTATACATACCTATACGACCACCCTTCGGGTGATAAGGAGGTCGTGGGGGGGGGAGAGGGGGGGGGGAACCAACATCTGACTCGATCGATCTCACTATCGATCTCACTCAACGGGACACCGCGGGACACCACGGGACACCACGGGACACTTGTCGATCTCACTATCGATTTCACTATCGATCTCACTCAACGGGACACCACGGGACACCACGGGATACCAAGGGACATCAGGGGACTCCGCGGGACACCACATCGATCTCACGATCGATCTCACTAGCGATCTCACTCAACAACGGGACACCACGGGACACCTCGGGACACCTGTCGATCTCACTATCGATTTCACTATCGATTTCACTCAGCGGGACACCAAGGGACACCGCGGGACACCTCGGGGCACCACATCGATCTCAGTAACGATCTCACTATCGATTTTACTCAACGGGACATCACGGGACGCCTGTTGATCTTACTATCGATCTCACTATCGATCTCACTCAACGGAACACCACGGGACACCACGGGACACTTGTCGATCTAAGTATCGATCTCAGTAGCGATCTCAGTATCGATCTCACCCAACAGGACACCACGGGACACCACAGGACACCACGGGACACCGCGGGGACACCGCGGGCCCAGTCCCAGCCACCGGCGGACGGGACACCACGGGACACCACGGGACACCGGCGGGACACCACGGGCCCAGTCCCAGCCACCGGCTGCTGGGCGCACGGACTTTCGCTTCTTCTTCTTCTTCTTCTTATTCTTCGGCCTACCTACAGGAGCATCACGCGCAGCTTCGCCTCGCCCGCACGCACGACCCGAAACCGAAACCAAAACCGATTTCCCGGTGGGGGGTCTCCGTTTCACTGCGATCTCACCCCCCAACCTCCGATCCACCACCAGTGGGGGCAGCACCCCCGGGGGCAGGGGACATGGACATACTTCGGCCCGAGGGAACCCGAAAATTACCATATCCACCGCCACCCGAGGTCAAGTAAGATCGGTCCCCACAGGCGGTGAACATGCATAAACCCAAACCTCGGACTGACCCCTGCGCCTCCATCACCCCCTGCCAGGTGCAGTCAACATCAAATCGGGAAATCGGGTCGAATCGGAATGTGTATCGAATCGGGTCGCATCGGCACGGAATCGGATCCGAATCGGATCGGCCGCGCCAGGATGCACAACAGCACTGCACAGGCATCGGCGCGCATCGCATTGTCGGAACACCAGGACCGAACCAGATCGAGCCGGCCAGCATCGATGTCGAATCGGATCGATCGGATCGAGCTGGACCCTGCTCGCTGGCCGTGGATCAGAGGGCGCAGCCTCCGCTGACAGCGCAGGGACCCTGTGCAGAGGGGGGGAGGCCCCTGCGCCCCCCCCCCGCAAGGCTTGCCCTCGCAGCCTGCCTCCCGCACCGACCAGCTGCTCGCACCGACGGGGGGCCTCGAGAGGGCCAGGAGGCGGCAGGCGAAGGCGGCCCGCTCACCAGAGCGCCGACGGCATGCTCTCTGCCTTATCCGAGCGTGCTTCCTCGGCCTCGGCACCTGGTCGGGGATCTACTGAGCCGGGTCGACCCAGACCCGGGTCAGTCGGGGTCTGCAGGGATCCTGCAAGAGAGGCTGCAGGATCCTGCACGCAAGCCCGGGCCCGTGCACCCCCTGGCTGCGCAGGATCCTGCCAGATCTGGCGCTCCGACCGACCCCCGGTTGCTTTGACCCCCGTCCTGTGAGCCCCGATCCGGGGGCCGTCACCGGGCCCCGGGACGCAGACGGACCCTGGCAAAGGGGTCCCAAAGATCCGTCGTGATTTTTGTCAATGCGCGGTCCCCGGAAGCCTTGACCCACTCCCCAGGACCGGTGCTTCCTCCTGGGCCGTTTTTGGACGGCCCCGAGGCCCGGCGAGGGCCCCCCGAGGACGACAATGGGCAGCAAAAACCTCCCGCCCTGAGCTTTGTACGCCGCGATCGTGCCTGGGGACGGGCCCTCGGAGAGGGGTCGGGACTTCGGGGCCCGCGCGCTGCGAGAGCCACGTCGCCAGGACGCCCAGGGCCGCCGCAATGGGGGCCGCTGCGGGGCCCTGCCGCCGCCCAGAAAGGCCGCTCCTGGACGCCACCGCGCCGGGCCGCTGCATGCCGAGCGCGTCGGGGGACTGCGGCGGCCACACGACCTGGGCGGGGAGGCGGCAGGGGGGACGGAGGGAGGGGCGAGGGGGGGGGGGGGGGGGTCCTCCTCCCCCTCCTCCTCCCCCTCCTTCTTCCTCCTCCTCCTCTTCCTCCTCCTCTTCCTCCTCCTCCTCCTCCTCCTCCTCCTCATCTTCCTCCTCCTCCTCCTCCTCCTCCTCATCTTCCTCCTCCTCATCTTCCTCCTCCTCCTCCTCCTCCTTCTCTTCCTCCTCCTCCTCCTCCTCGAGGGGGGAGGGAGAGGATGGGGACGAGGACGACGAGGACGAGGGCCTGGACGACGACGAGGGCGAGGAGAAGGACGAGGAGGACGGGGCCGAGGAGGGGGGAGGCTTGAGCAAGTCAAGCAAGGTCCAGGGGTTTGTTCATCGGCTGCAGGCCAGAGTGACCTATGGTGCGCGGCTTTAGGGGGCCGCGGAAGGGGCGGGGGGTCAGGGTGGGCGGCAAATCCAAGCGCGCAGGCTTGTGCTGGGGATACCTCCGTGTGCCCGCACCAGAGGTCACTCTAGCGGAGGGTCACCCTGGCTCGTGCCCGAGGTGCGCAGCTCTTCGAAGCCTCCCGCCCTCCCTCTATCCATCCGTCCTTGACACCAGCTCCAGGGATTGAAGAGCGATCAATGCAATGCGCCTGGCCCTGTGGCGTCGCCGCCGTCCTCGCCCAAGGAAAATCGGATACCAGCTCCGACGGCCAGACATCGAAGAGATCTCCGAAACGGCGGGGCCATCGTTCCGATTGGCCTCATGCAGGCATCGTTGAACCCAGGAAGCCACAACTTATCCATACGTTCACCAGCGTCGCAACCCGACTCGAATCCGTAGCACTCCGCAGCTGCGGATACGAGCGAGGGGGCGGCGGGGAAGCCGACAGTCTGCGGGGCTCCGAAGAAGCCCGCCGCATGCGCCCAATTTCTTAAATTATGCAACGAGCCCGCCGCAGGTGCCGTTTTTTTGGGGGGGGTAAAAATAATGAGAATGGGTCGCGGGCAAGTCGCGGATGGGTCGCGGGCCGGGCCGCGGGCCGAATCGCGGGTGGGACGTGGGTGGGTCGCGTGGTCGGTCGCGGGTGGGTCGCGGGTGGGACGACGACAACAAACAACCAACACAATCAACAAACAACAAACCACAAACAACAGACAACGCAACAGCAATGATCCGCACCGCGGAACCTCACTGCAGCCACGCCCCCAGGGACACTGAATGACCGTTCGGCCCCCCTCACTCTGATATTTTGTCCGATCGAGTCGCATCGAATAAAACATCCAATCGGGGGAGGAAGACAGTCGCACCTGCAGATGCGTGATCGAATCGATCGATGCCGAGTGCGGGCGCGGTCATTTCTGATAGAGTCGGTCAAGCTGCGAGCAGCTCTGATCTCGCCCTCAGGGAGCATGGGGAGAGAAGGTGGAGGAGCAAACTCTCCGCCATAGACGGGGCCATGCCCTCACGGCTCTCACCCTCCCTCCATGTCTCTCTGCTCTCGCGCTCCCTCTCTCTCTCTCCCTCTATCTATCCCGTGCTCTCTCGCTCTCTCTCGCTCTTCCTCACCCTCTGTTTCCATCTCTCTCTCTCTCTCTCCCTCTCCTTCTCTGGCGACGAGCCATCGAAGTACAGGGGGATAAAAGACTGGGGCGGGCCGCACGCGAGAGGCAGCGCGCGACCGGAGACACGTGCTCCGGCGTGGCCACGACCGGCCGGGGCTCGTCGCCGTCGCTGCGAGAGAGCACCGCTTTGCCCGTGCAGCGGGGGCGCCCCTCCTGCCTCCGCTCCCCCTCTCCCTGCAGTCGGGGCCTTGGCCTAAGGAACGATAAATAAGGAACGAGGCCCCTTTTTCCCACAAGTTAAGCTCCGATCTCCCATCGGGAACCAAAGGAAAACCCAAGGCAAAGTGTGAAGCAATCAAGGAACACGGAGCCCCTCCCCAACGAAAAGGGTTCCTTCTTCAGGGCCCCGACTGTACCCGTCCCCGCCTTCTCCCCGCCTGCTCTCCCTGCCCTCCCCGCACCCCGCGTCGGTCACCCCGAAGAGGTGCTCCGTGACAGCTGAGCTTCCGCTGCTCTCGTCCAAGTCCGCGTGTCTGTGCTGATGGCTGCTTGAGAAGGAGAGGCAACGCCATGAGCATAGGCTTGTGGCGCTCCGCGCGGACTTCTTGGATCTGCGCTGGACCCCCGTCCCTGGCGCGCGGAGCGCGCCAGGGGCGGCACGGATCCAATAAATCCGCGAGCGCCAGAGATTCTGTTTATGGCGTCTTTCCTTCTTCGATGCTTGCAGCTGGGTCCAGCAAACGGTCTGCGGGCAACGGGGCGCGTCGGAAGCGCATCGGGCACATGGGGCACGGGAGGGCAGGGACCAAGAGGACGGGGAGCGCCGCGAGACGGCCGGAGCGACGACAGATCGTGAAGAGCTTCGGGATGTCGCCAAGCAAGCTCACGTGGTCGACGCGGTCAATGCGAGCGCAGGCTACCGTCAACCCGTGCAGCAAGGAGGCGCGATGAGGCTGCAAGGTCCTCGGAAGCCCAGTCCGAGGTTTTTTCAGCGGGGCGCGGCCAACGAAAGTGGCCAATGATGGACCGAGGAGGCAAGGATGCAAGGGTACCATTGGGAAGGTTGCCCATCCTTACTATGCGGTTCGATTGTAGGGGAACGGCCACACACACCGACAAACCGCAATCTGGGACATGTGGACCACACGCAGCAATGGGCAACCTAAGCAGTTTCGGCCACTCGAGTCATGCAGAGTGGCAAACAAAAATGCCCTCCCCACACCCCGACGTTGTGATTGCTTCACTGCCTGTACCCCCAGGGGCCTCAACCCCGACGTAAGACTCGGGTTCTGGGAACTGGTGTTGACCTGACGGGGCTATCACGAACATTACGACACCCATGCTGAAAATTGGCGCGACCTCCCGCTGCAAACATCCCACGGAAACTGGACCGTCAAAATCCAGCAGGATGCGCTCGTCAAAAAGTGTCGGCAAGCCCGAGTTCTTGCGTACCCGAGTCTCACGTTCTCCCTCCCCCTGGGCGGGCCTCTCCTCCCGAGTCGTTCCGTCCACGGCCTCTCGGGGCCCGGCACGGGCGCCCTGGGAGGGACCAATATCGAGTCGGGCATGTCCTGCTACAGACGGATGCTGGAAGACAGAAGTCAAACAAGCCAACAGAGAAAACCCCAAACCAGCACGACAAATCGTCACCAGACCATTTTCTCAACTATTCTTGACTGATTCCTCCTGCAGGGGGACACGCCCGCCTTGAGCCCACCATGGCCCAGGAGGGCCTCGTCCTCGCTGCTCCTCCGCGGCGCGGGAGGGGCCTGAGCCTCTCCCCCGCCCCAAACTCCTGGCACCGCACCGGGCACCCCCGTCCTTTGGGAGGGCCCCCGTGGGGACACGGGTGACATCGAGGGCAAGCGAGGAGGGGCCGGCTCTCTTGGACGGCTCGGAAGTCCCCAGGGGGCCTGCTGAGATGTGTTCTGAGACTTCCCCGAAGACACGGAAATCTGCTCAGAAGGCGCGAGGGCTTCTGACAAGTCCCGCCGCCCTCTGAGCAGGTCTTCCCCTTCTCACTTCCCCCCCTCGCTCGCCACCGAGTCCCCAGCCACCGATCTCTCGAGTACAATGCTCGTGGTCACAACCCAGCTCTTTTGCACAAACAGGGCGGCGACAACACTCGCACTGGACAGGCACGGTCGGATAGAGAGGACGACGACGGCGAGGACAAGGGCAAGGTCCACGAGGACGAGATGCACTGCTCATGATCAGCCCGGCACGCTTGCGCAAAACACGTGGCGGCAACACGGAAGGAGCCCACGGACTCACAAATAGATGGACACACATCTCAGGAATCCTACATTTTTTCCAATCCGTTCGGGATTGTCGTCTTGCCCCCTACTCCCCATCTTTTCCAACATTTTCCTGGGAGTCGACGATTCATTGTGCCTGTGTTTGTTTCTCCCTCCTGAAACACTTGCACAGGACAGGCACGGCCTGACACAGAACGAAGCCAGACGACGAGGACGAGGAGCAGAACGACACCGAGGGCGAGGACTGGAAGACACGACCGAGGACGAGGCACCGGGGGGACGACGTGACGAGGAAGAGGGCACCGGCGAGAGCGAGGAGGCCTCCAGAGGGGGGCCCAAGAAGCAACGACGTGTCATGTCTTGTTAGGTCCTCGGCAGGCGTACTCGCCTTTCCGTTTTCCCGACGCTCCACGATGGCGGCCCCGAAGAGGCCCCCGAGGGGGCCCCGAAGAAGGTTCTCAAGGGGGCCCCGAGGCGGCCCGAGAGAGGGCCGGGGAACGCGGGCACGGCCGGGGAAGAAAACGCGGGTCCTGCCGGCCACCTCCTCGGAGAGCACCTGCGGCTTCCACGCGAAGGCCCCGTCCAGCTCCGCCATGGGGCCTTCCGCCACTGCCGGAGGACGCCGCCCCTGGGTGTGGCAGGGCCCTCCCCCCCCCAAGTGGGAACCGAGCCAACTGGGCGGCGGCGGAAGCGAGAGGCGGAGAGGGGGAGAGACGGAGAGGGGAGAGAGAGCGGGAGGCAGAACGGATAGATGAAGGAGAGGGAGGGAGAGAGAGAGAGAGAGAGAGAGAGAGAGAGAACAAACAAGGCGAAAGAGAGAGAGAGAAAACAAGAGAGAGAGAGAGAGAGAGCGAGCTAAAGTTAGAAAGAGAGAGAGAGAGAGGGAAAGACATCTAGATACACATGGGGATCGATGTAGACAAGGAGAGAGTGAAAGAGAGAGAGAGAGAGAGAGCGCAACAAAAGCGAGAGAGACAACACACAACAAGTGGATGCCACGAACCGCGGAAAAGACGCATGCCTCCTCCCCTCTACTCTGAGCTCCCCCTCCCTCCCTCCTCCCTTCCCTTCCCTTGTCCTCTGCTCATGCCCCTCCCGTTCCCCCATCTCCCTCCCGTCCTCCTTCAGGACCTGTGCCTCTGATCACTGCAGCCTCCAATTCCTCATCTCGTGCCAACCTCCCGTCGAAGCTCTCGCCTGGCTGCGGCTGCACGCGTCACGTTGGGAACCGAGGCCGTCCCTAAGCCGTACGTCAGGGGGAGACCCTGGGCACGCGGCCTGGGTGTCACCAGCACAGAGGAAACACATTGCCAGGAGAGGCAGCTCGCGATTGCGCTTCGACAAGTATGGTTGGACGAGGAATTGCGGAGCACAGGTGGAACCGGTAGGGAGACATAGACATATACATGACTCAGACTGAAAGCTTTTGTCATGCAGCCAGGAATGGGCGCCACCTGCGAGCAAAGATTAAATATCGCGTGCCGATGCGCGCCAAGCGCATAGGCAGAACATAATATTCTCAGGCTCAGAGAAGAAGGCCATTCGTGTAGATGTCGCCAGGGTCTTCGCGTAGGTGCCGCCATTCCAGCCTGAGGCAGAGCCAGCCATGATAAGCGAGAGCAGGAATGAGCAGGCTTCCCATGTGGCATCAATGAAGCTGGCAACAGGCCAAAGCAACTCACATTATCTGAAGCTCGGAAGTTCTCGACCGCGCCTACGGTCGCTCGCGAACCACCGCACAGAGCATACACATGAAGGCACGACCCAACGACTCCTCGCTTCCACTCAACATCTGGACGTGGCCTCGGAATCACCCATCGGCATCCACGCCTGCCTAAGCGTTTTCGGACAAACAAACCGACTCCTGCTGCTACCCGCAACGCAGCCGCCCAACTCGGGCCGCCCACGCACCCCACATCGCCACCTCAACGCTCCTCGCTACCCTGCCGCGACAAGCAGGTAATGGAAAGACCATTCAGTCCACCTGGGCTTCTACCACGCACACACCAAGGAACATGTTCTAGCCTGGGAGGGCCAAGACAGATCCTCTGACTTCGCCGCCAAGAAAGAAACGCAACCAACATAGAGGACGGAAACAGCTTTTCCGCACGTCGAACTCAGGAAAACGCGCCGCATCTCGTGTCCGGAGGAGGAGGAGGGAGGAGGAGGAGGAGGGAGGAGGAGGAGGAGGAGGAGGAGGAGGAGGAGGAGGAGGAGGAGGAGGAGGAGGAGAGGAGGAGGAGGAGAGGTAGGAGGAGGGAGAGGAGGAGGAGGAGGAGGAGGAGGAGGAGGAGGAGGAGGAGGAGGATGAGGAGGAGGAGGAGGAGGAGGGAGGAGGGGGAGGAGGGAGGGAGGAGGGGGAGGATGACGAGGAGGAGTGGGGAGGTCCCGAGGCCAACAGGGCCCACAAGGGCCCCCTCAAGGGCTCGAGCGCGCCGTCGCCGTCGCCGTCGCCGTCCCTCTTCGGCGTCGGCGGCGCCAGCCGTGAGGCCCTCGCAGCAAACCAACACAAAGCTCGCCGCACGTCGGGATCCCGCAAGCCAGAAAGATGTTGCTTTAGGTCGGGCACGTCCCCCTGCAGGCGGATTTTGGCAGACAAATGAACCATACTCAAGACAAAATCAACACATACAAAAACATAGTAAACAAAACAAATAGTCCCCAGACTATGTTTTGACTATTTTCGAATAGTCCTCCTGTAGAGGGGCAGGCGGCGACGCAGGGACACGGAGCACTGTGCAGCACCAGCCGGGGCGCGGCAGAGCCCACGGCGAGGAGGGCGGCCGCGGAGGGATCGGTGGTCCTCGAGGGAGGGTCAACGCCCCTACTGCCAGGCGAGCCTCCTCCTCCCCCTCCCCCTCCCCCCTCCTCCTCCTCCCCCTTCTCCTCCTCCTCCTCCTCCTCCTCCTCCCCCTCCTCCTCCCCCTCCTCCTCCTCCTCCTTCTTCTCCTCCTCCTCCTTCTTCTCCTCCTCCTCCCGCCGAGCCCCTGAGGGCTCGAGAGTCGAGGGCCGCGGAGGGACGCGGAGGAGGGACCAGCGCGCAGAGCATGCAGCACTTCGCGCGCGGTGCTGGCGGCCGCAGGCTCCAGAAGGGAGCCGTGCTCTGGACTCGAAGCTCTGTCGGCTGCGCGCCAAGGGGGGAAGACGGGGGGCGGGCCTTCCCAACGCCCCGCCGCCCTCTGCGCGGGCCTGCCCCACCTCTCGGATGCCTCGCCTCTCCGGATGCCGTCCTGGACGTTGCGGGCTCCCCCCGGCACGCTCTCGGCGAGGCGCGGCTGCCGGAGCGGAGACGAGGGCGCTGCAGAGTCTGCCCTCGGCCCTCGCCACGCGCACAGCCTGGAACACCTCCACGCGCCTCCTCGCCCTCGCGGATCCCCGGCCACTGGGCGAGCCCGTGAAACGCGCCCAGTGCTGCAGAGCCTGTGTTCGCAGGATGCCTCTCGCCCGAGCCGCCGATGTTATCTTGCGTCCTCTACGCTCTCGGGACACTCAGCTCAGCCGTGCTCTCCTTGTGATCAGGATCCATATCCAGCTCTCTTGTTTTTGTTTTCTCTATCTCTCTCCCTCTGCCCCTAATTCATTGTGTATATGTAGACCTATTCTAGAACCACGTTCCTTAGGTTCTAGCACGCCTCAGCCCTCGGCGACAACACAGCTGTACATGTGCACGAATATAAACTGCGACGGCTATCTTGCCTCCCTCCTCCTCCTGTCCCTCATCTTCCCTCTTCACTCCCCCAACCTCTCCGTCCTTCATTCCTCCGGCCCCAACCCTGGCACCGCTTTTTCGTCCTCCCTTTCCCTCCTCCCTCCTCCCTCTCCTGCGCATCCTCACCCATCCTCCCCCCATGCCCTCCTCTCTTCGGCGCTTGCCTCCCCCTCCTCCTTTCGGCCTGCGGACCTGGATTGCTGGACGATCACGCGGCGTCCCTAGGGCTCGGGGCGCTCTCGTGCCTCTTTGGGTGGGCGGTCGAGGGGGCCAGCTGGTGCTCTTTTCATTTTGATAGCTACATATAAAGAACAGGAAAGAAGCAAGGTGGAACATACGAAATAAATGCCATGGACATCATTGAAAATTACGAGGCATGATTCGGAGGACGAAACATGTGCTTGAACAAGAAAGGGAACGTGATAATCCCTTATAGGTTCTCCAGTGTGGCCCGAGACAATGGGCTCCTGAGCCCACATCACAGACGCAACAACAACAATAATAACAACACCAACACCAACACCAACACCAACAGCGACAACGACGACGACAAAGACAACAACAACATCAACAACATCAACAACATCAACAACAACAACACCACCACCACCACCAACAACACCACCACCACCAACAACAACAACATTACTTACACGCCCTTTTGAATCATTTTGGGCCTTATGTGGTGCCTGTCGGGGGCGTATTGGGGCTTCTCCGGAAGTTTCGGGCTTCTTCGGCTCTTCTTGGCCCCACTCACGGCCATCTTGCCCCGCCTGCCGCCTCCAGAATATATCTTGAGGGTGTTTCTGGGCTGTCTTGGGCCCTGGGGCCATCTTCGCTCTCATGGGTCATCCTGGGGCCAAATTGCGCCCTCGGTGACCCACCGGATGCGACTGGGCGAAATGGCACAAACTTTTGACATTCCGCAGCCTATTGGAAAATGTTGGACTATCGGGGGCCACCCGGCGGCCACCCTGGGCGTCTAGGAGGCGTCCCGAAGCGGAATGGACTGAAACAAAACGGACGCAGACTTGAACGTTCGACAACAAATGTGGGAAAAGCAGGGGAGGAGCTAAGGGGGTTGGCTGGGGTAAGGACGCTCGGAGATGAGCATGGAAGACGCGTGAACAAAAAAGGCGAACGAACAACATTTCGAAGAGGACAACAAGAGCCGGGCAGAGCAGATTCGAGCGGGGTGGACTTGAAGGCGTGGAGAAGGATGCCGAGTTGAGAGGGCAGCGGGACCATGGGGAAGCTCCTCGTATTCTCTCTCTCTATACTCCGTCCTCGATCCTCCTCCTCGAACCTCCTCCCCCTCCTCGAACCTCCGCTTCGCCCTCTTCGATCCTCCTTGGTCCTCGATCCTCCTCCAGGATCCTCTTCCCTCTTCCCTCCTCTTGTCTTGTGCCTGATAGCCGACATTCCCTGACGAATGAGCGTCTCTCTTGCTCCGATATCCTAGCGATGAAGATCCCTTCGTATGGACCTTGTGGATGGATGAGCCCTTGACGATGTCGACATAGCTGGCATGTGCCGTTAAGTGGTTGTGAGAGTGGTTAATGATACGCGCGCGCAAAAAAACAACGATGCGCGCACATTATTCCTCTAAGACGCAAATTGCGTTCTATCCTCACAAATGGCTTGAACCAAACGCGTGCAACGGCACGCGTATACGAGCTCTGGAAAGAAGCGGAAGGAGCGAAGGTAACGACTCCCCCCGCGGCGGGCCCTGAGCAACTTCACCCCACCTGCCAGCCTTCTGTGGGAAGGGGCTGGATGAGGGTGTTTTTGTTGCGCTTCCCAGCAGCTAACATGACATTAAGCCTCCACAAGGGAAGTTCTTCTCTAAGGCAGTCATGCAAATAACCTTCGTGTAACGTCGCGATAGAACGATCACATGTTGCCACCACACGAAGAAATCTGTTTGTAAGGCCGAAACAACAGGAATCCTGATATAAGGCCACCGCAAGATTAACCCCTTTACAGGGCAGCCAAGCGATTTTCCACAGTCCGCCGCGGAAATCAAGGACAGCAGCAAGAACCAATGAAAACAAATAACACATCAGAAAGAACAGTGAAACACAACACCACATAGGTGTGTGTGCGTGTGCGTGTGTGCATATGTGCATGCGCGTATGCGTGTGCGTGTGTGTGTGTGTGTGTGTGCGTGTTCGTGTGTGTGTGTGTGTGCGTGCGTGCGTGCGTGCGTGCGTGCGTGCGTGCGTGCGTGTGTGCGTGTGTGCGTGTGTGCGTGTGTGCGTATGTGTGTGTGTGTGTGCGCGTTCATATGTTCTTTCGGTCCTCATTGTTGTTTGTCCAAACTATGGTCTGTGCTTCGAGGATTTTTCGATCCTTGCGTCCACGAAATCCTTTTGTAAGGCCGCACCAAAATAATACATGTTGTAATGCCGCCACAAAAGGAATCCCTTTACAAGGCAGCCAAACTGTTTTCGGCCATCAACCGCAGAAAACAAGGAAAATTAGCCTCAAGGAAGATCAAACCACATGCAGCTGCGAATACCGCATTGTGGGCACCGCTTTCGGTGGAGCTCCTTATGGGGCCACGAACCGTGGGAGAGGCGTGCCGAATTGGGAGCGGTGGTGCCATGCGAACCCTCCCTCTGGAGCCTTCGGTGGAACACCCTCTGGGGCCACGAACCGTGTGAGGTGTGTACCGAATTGGGTGCAGTGGCGCCATGCGAACCCTCCCACTGGATCCTTCGGCGGAACTCCCTATGGGGCCACGAACAGTGTGAGGGGTGTGCCGGATTGGGCGCGAAGGTGCCATGCGATTCCTCCCACGGGAACCTTCGGTGTAACTCCCTATGGGGCCACGAACCGTGTGAGGGGTGCGCCGAATTGGGTGCGCTGGTATCATGCGAACCCTCCCACTGGAGGCTTCGGTGGAACTCCCTATGGGGCCACGAAACATGTGTTGGGTGTGCCGAAATGGGGGGGCGCGTGCGGACGCTGCCTCTGGGGCCTTCGGTGGAGCTCCCTATGGAGCCACGAACCGTGTGAGGGGTGTGCCGAAATGAGGGTGGAACTGCATGCGAACCCTGTCACTGGGGCCTTCGGTGGAGCTCCCTATGGGGCCACGAACCGTGCGAAAGGTGCGTCGAGATGAGGGTGGAACTGCATGCGAACTCTGCCTCTGGGGCCTTCGGTGGAGCTCCCAATGGGGCCACTAACCGTATGAGGTGTGCCGAAATGAGGGTGTAACTGCATGCAAACCCTGCCTCTGGGGCCTTCGGTGGAGCTCCCAATGGGGCCACGAGGGGTGTGCCGAAATGAGGATGGAACTGCATGCGAACCCTGCCGCTGGGGCCTTCGGTGGAGCTCCCTATGGGGCCACGAAGCGTGTGAGGGGTGCGCCGAAATGAGTGGAACTGCATGCGAACCCTGTCACTGGGGCCTTCGGTGGAGCTCCCCATGGGGCCACGAACTGTGTGAGGGGTGTGCCGAAGTGGGTGCGGTGGTGCCATGCGAACACTCCCACCGGGGCCTTCGGTGGAGCTCCCAATGGGGCCACGAAGCGTGTGAGGGGTGTGCCGAAAAAGAGACATGCGGAGGGCGGAGGCAAGGCTGGGAGGAGAGAGGAGGGGGAGGAGGAGGAGGAGGAGGAGGAGGAGGAGGAGGAAGAGGAGGAGGAGGAGGAGAGGGAGGAGGAGGAGGAGGAGGAGGAGGAGGAGGAGGAGTGGGAACGCGGGGCGCTGTCTTTTCAAAACGAGGACCCAACACCACAGGATGGTTGGGAGCAATGAAAACAATGAAAACACAGCGAGAAAGACCGCGCGCAGAGATGCCCACAGCTGAATGGGAGCCTGTACCACATCAAACAAGACCGCCTCTCGCAAATGGCACTACGCCAGACGACACCAGATTAGACCGCACGCGACCCAACGACACCAGATCACACCAGGCAAGGCAAGTGCACATTAGACCACGCCCAAATTGAACGAGGCACTGGGCGACGGATGAGCTGATGGGGAAGCTAAGTAATGGGGACATGCGAAGCGTTCAGAAGAGCTTTTCTTGCTCCACTTTGGGCTGCTGGTGCAGGCGGGGAGCTCAGAGCTCGAAGAAGCCATGCGAAACACGCTGTCCTAGAAACACCTGGCATGGACTTCAACTACACCGACAAGACTTGCCATAATTGCCTCAGCCATCTTGGGACGTACGAGTTTCCCAGCAGCTGCTCGAAGCAATCGAAGTTCTCGGAGCGCCCGCCAAGCTCACGCCAAGTCCCAAAGGCCGCGTCCACCCGAGAAGCAGGGGGCCGGCGCGGGGGAAAAAACGCTCTTGCTCAGCACTGGGGCGTCATCCGATGCTCAGGATGGCGGCGCCGGTGGCGATGCCAGCACTGTCGCCAGCGCGCAGAGGAGCACAAGCAGCGCATCCGCCCCCGGCTCTACCCGAACCTGAAGAGTGCGCCCATGTTCCTCGAAGGGCCAAAACATTGCACGCAAAGCCTCTCATGCCCCCACTTCTGCTTCCACATATTGCCCGACTCCCTCGAGTGCAACACACCGCATGGAAAACAATATAAACCGATGGCCGCTAGCTCTTGCGAGCATCATTGAGAATCGAGCTTACTAGCACCGCTGGCACAATCGAACCTATATGTAGCGAAGGGCGCTTGAGCATCTTTGTAGGGGTGGGCGCTGGAATTCAGGATGTCGCCTCCTATCTGTCAATGCCCACCTCACAGAAGTTATCCGTCGTAAGCAGCCTTGAAGCAGGCCCCTGGAAAAAGAACACTGACAACCAGCATCAAGACAAAACATCGAAATAGCGAGCAATAGGATGCTCTGGAAGTGGCTGGGGAAAAAAAACATGGTAAGGTCACAGTAGAGACTGTGCGGGGCGGGTATGAATTTCCTTCTCGTGCTGGGCATCGGATTTTGGGCTTTGGGGGGGCTCTTGATAACCTCTCGAGGCTGCACTGAGCCCCACTGCAGACCAATAAGCCTCAGTGATTTGGGCCTCTGTCGGGCATGCTTTGGAGGTTTCGGGGCCACCTCTGGGCGGTCTGGGGGCCTCAGGAGAGCATGCGAGAGGCCATCTGGGGCCACCGTGGACCCTCTTGTGCCACACGGGGGCCTGCATTGTCGTGTCCTGCCTTGTCTGGCCTTGCCCAATCGAAGGCGGGACCGCGGCCGCAATGGGTCAACCAATGGGGGCGCTGGGAGGTGTCGCTCCGCTATGATGTGAGACATCTCCCCAAGGAGTCTGTGAGACGAAGGGCCGCGGGCCGGTAGAGCGTCAAAAACGGTCCCAAATGATATCCAGGTGGCCCCACGTAGCACAGGATGAATTCCAAGACGGCGCAGGATTGGATGGCCTCCACCACTCCTCCCTCCTCCCTCCTCCTTCACCCTCCCTGGGCATCCGATGATGAGTTCTTCGAGTGCGCGGCCCCAGAAGCCCCCACCCCTTCCCCGGGGCCAGTGTCCAGCTTTTCGCACCGGATCCATGGTTGATGGCCCCGGGGCCCAAAGACAAGCCGAGGAGGCCGGAATCTAGAACAAAACGCCGAGATCGAACAAAAATCATGTCGTCGGAGATCTGGGACCCCAGGCATCCGATGTCTTGATTCTTTCGATACGGGCTGGGGAAATCCCGACCCTTTACTGATGTCCGGTTTTTCATCCCGAGCCTTTTTGTCGACGGTCCCGGGGGCCCGGCGAGGGCCCCTGGAGGCCGAAGACGGCCAAAGACCGCCCGTCGTGCTTTTTTTCACGACGCCTGAATTGAAGGGGCCCTGGGACACGCAAATAAATAGACACAACTAACAAGATTCCCCATACATTCCTATATTTTCTGGGTTTTTGTCTTCCCCCCACTTCCCATATTTTCTTATATTTACTGGGGAAACGACGATTACCTCCTGATGAATGCCTGAGGCCTCGACCCTCTCTCCGCCGGCTACACGCAAGAGCGACCCTGCAGGGGTAAGAGTGTCCTCTGGTGCGCGGCATAATCTTTGGGGGCCGCGGGGCGGGGCCTGACACAAGCGCGCGCAAGACGCCACTACCGCATCGCTCTCGGCAATCAGGGGGCCCCAGTGGGCCCGCACCGGAAGTCACTCCGGCGAAGGTTCACTGTGACTTGCAGTCGACTCCCTCGCTCCCCCCCTTTGCCCCTCTCCTTGGTGGCCGCGAACGCCACCGCGGCCCCGGACGCGTCGTGCGCCGAGAGGGCGGCGCCCTGAGAAGCTACGTTGATGAGGAGGACGGGGCGGCCGCTGCTGTGTCGCACGCGCCAGCAGGCCCCGTCCCTGGCCAGCCAGCCGAAGACGTCGCCCTGACAGGGACTCCGAACCCAGACATGCTGGCGCCGTTGGTAGGAAAATCACGACCGGCGGTCTTTGGCCGTCTTCGGCCTCCAGGGGGCCCTCGCCGGGCCCTGGGACCGTCGAAAAAAGGCTCGGGATGAGAAACCGAACCTGGGGGAAGGGTCGGGACTTCGGGGGATCCCGTGTTGAAACAATCGAGGCATCGCATGCCTGGGAAACGGTGAGGTGACAGACCGTGCGCGGTGACCTCGACATCCCCACAGAAGCCTCACCAGACGGTCCGTCACCGCACGGCTTTGGGGGCCCTGGTCGCCCGAGACATACTCGGCGAGCGACCCAAGCCCCAAAACCGTGCGGCCACCCCCAACCCCCACTGATTCACCACACGGTGTGGTCACCGCGCCGTTTGGGGGCCTCCGGGATGCACATCGTGACCCCGGCCAGGCCCAGCCCGGGCCTGGGATTGTTGCACCTGTTCCCTCCCACCCCGGCCAAAGAGATGCGTGCGCGCAGGTCTCTGGCACCGGGCATGGGACCGGCCAGGCTCGGGGGTTGTTCTTCGTCCCGGACCCATTCGATCTCGGATGAGGAGGAGGAGGAGGAGGAGGGCGGAGGAGGAGGAGGAGGAGGAGGCGGAGGAGGGAGGAGGGCGGAGGGAGGAGGGCGGAGGGAGGAGGGAGGAGGGAGGAGGAAGGAGGAGGGAGGATGGAGGACGGGCACCAGAGTCGGACATCGAGGGAACACCGCCAGTCGACCAAATCAGGTCGCTGGAGACCTTTATGGATGCCCTCTCGGCGCTGCAGTCTTCTCGGCGGCCAGCCCGGGGGGGGGAGCGAATGGGGGCGGGCCTTCTCGGAAGGCTTCGCAGTTCCCCGGCCTTCTGGGCCAGGCGTGTGCAAGCATCCACACGTGGGCGACGAAGAGACGCGGGTCTTACGCGAGATGGCATGGCGACCGTACGCGGTGACTTACGCGGGCCACCAGCTCCGCAAACCACAAGGAAGGCGAGGGCGCTCACGCGCGACCTTCCGTGGGCAGCTAGCGTGCCGATGCTGGTGCAGACGGCTCCGCTTGTTCTGCGTCGCTCAGGCGCACCCTACCCCTGCAGAGAGCCGCTGCCTGAAAGACCACCGGAGGGGTGCCTGCAGCCACGTGAACCCAAGCGGGGTGTCCGATACTCCCCGTCGCTCCTTGATGATCCCCGCCGAGAAAAAGTGCACACGTCCGAGCGGTACCGAGGATACCCCGGCGTAGATCTGGCCCGCAGGGGCCAGGCTCGCAGATGGTCGCACGGTGCCCGCTTTCGCCACCCTCGGCCTGAGGCCCCGCTATCTCGACAGTCCCGTGCTGGTGCGCGCCGGCGCCCAGCGGGCCTGGCGGGGCGAAGGGCACGACGGGGGGGTCCGCTCCCCCCCCGGTGACGGGCAAGGAGCGCTCTCCCCCCGTGACGGCCCGTCGGTTGGTTGGCCCTCTGACCAGGGAGGCTCGCAAAGCTGGCCTGGGCCACAACTCCCCCCTCCACTTCTCTTCCTCCTTCGAGTGAATCCGTGATCGAGGCGCCTCCAGGGGAATGATGCCTACTTTCGTGGTACTGTCCCACGCCTTTTCCCTGCTCCCGTGCACGATTTCCTCCACAGACGGGCACGTTCAAAGCCGCTGCGGAACGGAACGGAGTGTGCTCCGGATCGATTTTTCAAGCGACAAGCCCAGCTATGGTGGAGCAGTGCACATGGGGCTCGACTCGGCCTGCTAAGTGCACGCACGCCCTGTTCTTGTCGGCCAGGTCCCATTCATGATCGCTGGACCCCACCTGGATGCGATGCTCACGCGATCTTATTTTGGCGAGTCCCGCCGTGCCGACAGGGGGAGCAAACAGTGGACCGAAAAGTATGACAAACAAGGGATCGGATAAACGCGCACAGCGAGAGGGGCTGGGCCAGAGGAGGGCGGGGCTGGAGTCCTCCAGTCTCGACGTGGCTCCTGAAGTCTCGACCCCTTCCCCGGGGCCAGCCTTTCCATCCCGGGAAAAGATTTTGACGGCCCCGTGCCCCGCAAAGGCTCCTGAAGGACGAAGACGGCCACAGACCCTCCGTCGCAATCCTCTTCACGACGCGAGGAGGTCGGGGCACCCCCCTCTGCGGCAACTCCTGGGGGCCTCCCGTGCCGTCTTGTTGGCTCGTGCGAATCGACGCTGATCGACGCTAGATCGACGATGCTCGCCGCTACTCGGTGCAACGTCGGCGCTATCTCACGGCGCTATCTCATCGATTACCAAACACGAATCAGCGCTACATCATGCGCTCCAGAAATGAATACACAAATAGACGACCGCGTTCCACTGCTCGCAAAGTAGCTACTCGCAAACGGCCTGGCTCCGCCACGAGGGATCTATGATCCATAACACAACGGAGGCAAGCACGTGTTTTTTTCGGACGCTTGCGAGTATGCACTTTTTGCGAGTCTTGGAACGCGCTCGGTGACACAAGACTCCCATGATTTGCCACCGAACCACCCCCCTTCTGGCCATCGCTCGGACGTCCATTCCCTGTGTGTTTTTCGGTTTTGTGCGTGGCTTTTTCGGCAAATGATCAAGGATGCTCCTCGATGGCCCTCGCCGAGGAAAAAACGCACACGTCCGAGCGATGCCCCTTTGGCTCCCAGGGAGGGCCCGCACGCGCGTGCGGGTACGGCGAGGCGGGGGTGGTCACGAGCTCGAGCCACTGGAGGGCGCTGCCCTCGGTGCCGCCGGAGCGGGCGTGGAGCAGCGGGCGCCCGCCCGGGCCGAGGACCTCCGACGGCTCGGGAGCAGGCACGCATGAGAAGCGAACGCTGCGACGTCCGCCTCCTCCTCCTCCTCCTCCTCCTCCTCCTCCTCCTCATCATCATCACCATCATAATCTCCCTAAATACTACCACCTCACCACCATTATCATCACCACACTTCTCGTCATCATCACCACCACAAGCACCACCACCATCATCATCGTCGTCGTCGTCGTCGTTGTCATCATGATCATCATCATCGTCATCATCGTCTTCATCATCATCATCGTCATCATCATCGTCATCATCATCATCATCATCATTATCATTATCAACATCATCGAAACCATCATCACCATCACCACAGTCATCATCAGCATCATCATAACCACCATCCTCGTCAGCGCTATCATTATTATTAGCATCCACACCATCAGCATCACCATCATCAGCATCATCATTACCATGCACAGCATCATCATCAACATCATCATCGTCATCACCAACATCATCATACACATCGTCATCATCATCAGCATGACAATCATCACCATCGTCATCATCATCAGCAGCATCAGCATCACCGGCAGCGGCACCACCACTACCACCATCATCGTCATCATCATCATCATACTCAGCATCATCATCATCATCATCATCATCATCATGATCATACTCGTCATCATCATCAGCATGATCATCATGGCCAGCAGCATCATCATCACCGGCAGAAGCAGCAGCAGACAATGCAGCATCATAATCAACATCATTATTCGTAATCCTCCTCGTTACCGTCCCCGTTGTTAGCCACCACCATCATCACCATCGTCATCTCTGTTGTCATTATCATATGCAGCATCACCATCATCATGATGACCATCATCATCACCATCATCAACATTATCATCGTCACCATGACCATCATCACCTCGTCATCTCAACATTCATGATCATCATCAGCTCCACCATCATCATCACCATTACCATCATCCTCATCCTCATCATCATCATCACCATTACCATGATGATGATGCTCATCATCATGATCATCACTATTATCATCATCATCATCATCATCATCATCATCATCATCATCATCATCATCATTCCGCCTTCTCCTCCTCCTCCTCCTCAGTAAGCGCGAATCGGCCCCATCTCTTGCCAATACACTGCGCCCAAATACCCCCTCAAGCGGCACGAAGCCATCCGGATCGACCCGATGCCGGCCATTCCAGATGGACTCCCAATAGTGCGGTATAGAAAGCCCCCGCTTCCAAAATTTGGTCCGAAACGGTCCCAGAACGCCCCGAGAAACGGAGACAACACAAGACTGGCCTCAAGTGGCTCCAGAACCGCCCATGACCGGCCCAAGACTGCCTTGTCACTCCGATGGTCACTCCCCAGACGCCAAGAAGCCCCAAATGGCCCCAAAATCCTCCAAACATCTATCAAAGACTGCACCAGAAAAGCCTCGAGGGGCTCTGAGGAAGCCCCCAAGAGGTCGCCACAAGACCTCCAAGAGGTTCCCGACAGGCTACGTAAAACAAATGAAGCGCTAGTCATGCAACACTACAGAGCGGCTGCGCTGCTTTCCCAAGCGCGGTTGGGAATATGTTTGGAAGCGACCTTGGAGAAATAATTGGTCGAAAGTGCTTCAACCTTGCTCCAGGTTTGTTCATGGTTATTGACATCGGACCAATTTCTCGCGATCATGATTTCTAGCCTTGCGCTCTTTCAAGCACTGAAGCGATGAGCCCGATCCGTCGCTCACATATTAACGTCATAAATACAGCCTGCTGCCCGTCCATGCAAGGCCTCAACATCGCAGCTCACCGTCGACCAGTGCACACCACTGGCCAGCGTGCACCAGGAAGGGAATAGAAGGATGGCGAGGAGGAGGAGACGGGAGGGGCCGCTGACTGCAGGTCTGTGATCATCATCATCATCATCATCATCATCATCATCATCATCATCATCATCATCATCATCATAATCATCATCATCATCATCTTCTTCATCAGCATCATCGTCATCATCATCATAATCATCATCATCGTCATCATCATCATCATCATCATCATCACCATCATCATCATCATCATCATCATCATCATCATCTTTGTCATCAGCATCAGCTTCGTAAACATCATCTAAATCATCTCATCACCAGCATCAGCATCAACATCAACATCGTCCTCATCAAAATCCGCCGACCCTGTCGGCGTGTGTGAGGGGCTTTTCCGTTCGAGCCGTCATCTCCGTCATTCTTTGTAATCGTCGTCTCTGTCGTTCCCTTTCCCTGGTACCCCTCTTCCCCTGGGCTCCTCCCCGCTCCCCTCGCCCTTTCCCAGGGCCTCCTCCTCAAGCGCGCTAGCCAAACCGACCTTCAGCAACGTCGTAATTGATTCGAAGAGAAGCCCCTTCCCTTTCCCTTCCCCGACGGGGGGGGGAGGGGGGGTCCCGGGGGGGGTCCCGGGGGAGTCCCGGGTCAGATACGACGGCCCCCCCGTACCGACCTTGAGCAACGTCGTAATTGAGTCGAAGGGAAGCCCCTTCCCTTTCCCTTCCCCGACGGGGGGGGGAGGGGGGGTCCCGGGGGGGGTCCCGGGGGAGTCCCGGGTCAGATACGACGCCCCCCCCCCGTACCGACCTTGAGCAACGTCGTAATTGAGTCGAAGGGAAGCCCCTTCCCTTTCCCTTCCCCGACGGGGGGGGGAGGGGGGGTCCCGGGGGGGGTCCCGGGGGAGTCCCGGGTCAGATACGACGCCCCCCCCCCGTACCGACCTTGAGCAACGTCGTAATTGAGTCGAAGGGAAGCCCCTTCCCTTTCCCTTCCCCGACGGGGGGGGGAGGGGGGGTCCCGGGGGGGGTCCCGGGGGAGTCCCGGGGAAGTCCCGGGTCAGATACGACACCTCCCTCCCCCACCTTCTCGTCCTTCTCCCCGTTCCCCAAAACCATCCCACAGCCCGTGCCTCTTGCTGCGCATTGCGAACAGGGTCGGCGGCACCGGCCGTAAGGCCTTCGCAATAATCACCCTCCTCCTTCTAATCATCCTCATCAACATCAGCATCATCGTCATAGTCATCTTCATCGTCATCATTATCAGCATAAGCATCACCATCATCATAAACAGCGCCATCATCAACATCAGCACCAACATCACCATGGTCGTCACCATCAACAACAGCATCAGCAACCTCACCATCATCACATCATCATCAGCAACATCGTCATACGCAACATCATATTCGATATAACCATTACCATCAGTAGCAACATCATCATTACCACTCTGACCATCATCGTCGTATTCATCCGCACCATGACGGGCATTGTCGTCACCGTCACACCGTCACCATCACCATCACTTTAACCATCAACATCACCATTGCCATCATCATCATAATCATGTTATTCATCATCATCATCACCACCACCACCTTCGCCGTCAACGCCACCATCACCATCAACACCGCTATCACAACTAGTCCCTTACACAACAACAACAATCATAAACCCGTCATGATGACCGTCAACATTTCCTTGTCGTCATGCCGTCGGCCCGATGCTCCCGGAGAGGCCTCTTGGCAGATCGGGCCGGCTGCGTGTGGCGGGCTCGGCGGGGTCGTCGGGAACGACAGATGTTGGCCTCCCGGGGCCGTCGTGGAAGCGCATTGGGAGCTGCTTGGGGGCGCGGGGGGGGCCCCAGTCGACCGTCTTGGGCCTCCCTGGGGCTCCTCGAGTGTCACTCCTGATCCTGAGGCCTGCGCGGCCTCTCGGGAGCGAACTGGCGAGACCTTCAGAAACCTATGGTTGTCCGTAGGGTTGTAAATGATTTTGGCCTCCTTGGGCTTCTTGGAAAGCCTTGGCGACTTCCGAAAGGCCGTCTTGGGGCGACATTGAGCTGCCTGGGTCCGCCTGGAGGCTAGCTTGGACCGCCCTGCAGTGGGCTCGAGGGCCGGCTCAGACGGGGCCCCCGGTCGACCGTCTTTGACCGCTATGGGGGCTCCTCGTGGGCACGTGTTTGACCATCCTGAAGCCTGAGACGCCCCTCGGAAGCGAAAAGGGGAGTTCTGGGAAAACATGTTGTTGTCCTGGGTCGTTGAACGATGTTCGTCTCCCGAAGGCCTTCCAGAAGCTGCTTGGGAGCCTTTTGGAAACCTCCAAAGGCCGTCTTGGGGCGATCTTGAGCTGCCTGGGGCCGTCTGGAGGCTAGCTGGGACCGCCTTGGCGGGCTCGAGGGCCGTCTCGAAGCCATCTTCGGCAATTCTGGAGCCATCTTGAAAGGTCTTCGGGTCCCCCAGTCGCCCGTCTTGCCAACAATGGGGGCTCCTCGTGGGCCATGTGTGGACCATCCTGATGCCGCAGAGGCCTGTCGGAAACGAACTGAAGAGTTCTGAGAAAACCTATTGCTCCCAACCGTCCTGTGGTGCTGGGTCCTGATTTTGAAGAGACAGCGCCCAGGGTCTCCCACCTCTTCCTCCTCCTCCTCTCCTCTGCTCCTCCTCCCCCTCCTCCCTCGTCCCCCTCCTTGCCTCTGCCCTCCGCACCAATCGCCGATTTGGCAACACCCCTCACACGCTTGGTGGCCCCGTAAAAAAAAGCTCCACCGAAGGCCCCACTGGCGGTGTTCGCACGCGTCCGCCGCATCCATCGGCACACCCCTCACACGTTCCGTGGTCCCATAGAGAGCAACACCGACGGCCTCAGCGGCTGCGCTCGCATGCGCCCGCCGCACCCATTTCGGCACACGCCTCACACGTTTGGTGGCTCCATAGGGAGCTCCACCGAAGGCCACAGTGGCGTTCGCATGCGCCCACCGCATTCATTTCGGCACACCGCTTACACGTCTCATGGCCGAGCTCCACTGAAGGCCCCAAGAGCTGCCGCATGCGCCCGCCGCACCAATTTCGGCACACCCCTCACACGCTTCGTGGCCCCATAAGGAGCTGCACTGAAAGCCCCAGTGGCTGCGTTCGCATGCGCCCGCCGCACCCATTTCGGCACCCCCCTCCCCCCTTTTCGT